TTGTTCCTTCAGAGGAGGGGGGGGGGGGGGGGTTGCACAGGTGTTATACAAGCAGCTAACTATCATATTATTGAGTCTGTTCAGCCATGTCAGACTGCTCAGATCTCAACTAAAACTTTTCAAGAAAGCCCTCTTGCTGGAGTTCTGCATTGTAGGTGCCATTTAAACTTCTGAGTGGCAACACTCAGCAGTATCTAGTTGAAACAGTAGAACCATTTATCAGGGATAAGTGCAAAAGAATGAGTTGGTTTTATGGTGCACACCTGCTTAAACAGAGGCTCATGGCCCATGTAAGTAAACAACCTTTCTTAAAATTTAAAAGTTGCCTCTGGAGGGTTGTGTGTAAAATCTTCATTGATATGGCAGAGGAAATCTATTCATTGCACTAGATATTATGCAGCTGGCTCAAACAAACACAGAGAAGAGCAGTCTGTTACTTAATGAAACATTTTTATAACAACAAAAGCATTAAGGTAAGTGGAGCCCTAGAATCCCATGTCCAGCATTCATTGAAACCAATAGCAGTGTTTCCACTAAATTCAGTAGGAGCTGAATCAAGTCCTTGGTCAAAGTAGATTTTAGCATTATTTAATGGCTGTGAAACAAATAAGCTATATGATGGTAACTAAGGAGGTCATCAGGACTGCTGCCACCATTTTGTCGTGGGCTGCTATCTCATCAGAGCACACAAGCAGAGAAGGAATTAATCATATCAGTACATGGATGATAGGCTGTAAGACAGTGTAGGCTCATTACTGAATGCAGAAGTTACAGACGATGCAGAGGCCGAAGTATTTAATGCCTTTTTACTTAAGTCATCACAAATTAAGTCAGTTAGTTACCAGATGATGAGTGTGGTTGACAGGAAAAATAGGGAAGGAGACAAACATCCTAGAGTAATGGAAAGACAGGTTAGGGATTACTTAGAGAAGCTAGATGTTTTCAAGGTGGCAGAGCCAGGTGGGATGCGCACTAGGGTGCTGAAGAAATTAGCTGAGGTAATTTCACAGCCATTGGCTATCCTCTTTGAGAACTTGTAAAGGTCCCAGACAATTGGAAAAGGGCAAATATAGTGACATCTTTAAGAAGGGAAAGAAGGAAGACCTGGGCTATTACAATCCAGTCAGCCAGACTTTGATACCTGAAATGATCATGGAGCAGGTCCTTAAGGAATCTGTGGTGATGCCCTTAGAGGAAAACAAGGTAATTGGGAATAATTAGCATGAATTCAGCAAGAGCAAGTCATGTATGACTAACTTGATTTCCTTCTATGATGAGTTGTGGAGAGCATGGATGTGACATATCTTGACTTTAGTGAGCCTTTGACACTGTCTCCCATGGCATGCTCATTAATAAGATAAGAAAATACAGAGTAGATGACAGTACTGTGAGGTGGATACATAACTGGTTGGATTATCATGTTCAGTGAGTAGTCATCAATGGCTCCCAGATCAAATGTACGTATAGACACAAGCACTAGGGAATTATTTGTTAGGCTGTGGTACAGCAGAGAAGGAGTTGGGGGTTAGAGTGGACCATAAACTGAACACGAATCAACAGTGTGCTTTTGTTGCAAAAAAAGCCAACCCTTTCTGTGTTGTATTAACACTTGCAAATCCAGGGAAGTGATTCTCCCACTCTATTTGGCAATGGTGAAGCCTCACTTGGGGTACTGTATCCACTTTTGGGCCTCACACGTCAAGAAAGAGGTGGACAGACTGGAAAGAGTTCAGTGACAAAAATTATTAGAGAGCTGGGAAACACCACTTCTGAGGAAAGAATTAGGATTAGAGATGGGCTCTTCTCTATGGCCACAGGGGACAGGAACAGGAACAATGGCCTCAAACTGTAACAGAGGAAATTTAGGTTGGAGATTAGGTAGAACTTTTTGACTGTGAAGGTGGTTAAATATTGTGAGAGGCTACTTAGAAAAGTTGCAGAATCTCTCTTTTAGACATTTTCAAGAGCAGGCTAGACAGGTGCTTGGCTGGGATGATTTAGTCAGGAATAATCCTGCCTTGAGTA